CAAAACCAGGCAAAGACATCACTCAAAAGGAAAACTACAGACCAATATCCCTCATGAATATACATGCAAAAATCTTCAACAAAATCCTAGCCAATAGATTGCAACAACACCTCAAGAAAATCATTCATCATAACGAAGTGGGGTTCATATCAGGTATGCAGGGATGGTTCAACATTAGAAAAATAATCAACGTCATCAACCACATAAATAGAACAAAGGAGAAGAACCACATGATCATATCAATTGATGCAGAAAAGGCATTTGATAAAATCCAACACCGACTCCTGATCAAAACTCTTCAGCAAAATAGGAATAGAAGGGACATTCCTCAACATAATAAAGGGCAACTATGCAGAACAAACAGCCAACATTACTCTCAATGGAGAGAGACTGAAAGCATTCCTCTTGAGAACAGGAAGCAGACAAGGATGCCTGCTATCACCACTTCTATTCATCATTGTACTGCAAGTCCTAGCCAGGGCCATAAGGTAAGAAAGGGAAATCAAAGGCATCCAAATTGGTAAGGAAGAAGTCAAACTATCCCTATTTGCTGATGATATGATTCTATACCTAGAAAACCCAACAGACTCAGTCAAAAATCTACTGGAACTAACTGAGAGATATAGCATCATGGCAGGATATAAGATCAACATCCAAAAATCAGTTGGATTCCCCTACACCAGCAAAGAAATTGCTGAAGAAGGAATAAGAAAATCAACACCATTTACAATAGCTACCAAAAAATAAAATACTTGGGAATAAATCTTACCAGGGACACAAAAGACCTCTACAAAGAAAACTATAAAAAACTTCAAAAAACCATAAGAGATCTACATAAATGGAAGAACATTTCATGCTCTTGGATAAGGAAGATTGAACACTGTGAAAATGTCAGTTCTACCCAAAGCAATTCTATACATTCAACGCAATTCCAATCCAGATCTCATCATCATTCCTTAGGGATATGGAAAAACCAATCACAAACTTTATATGGAAAGGAAAGAGACCTCGGATAAGCAAAGCAGTATTGAAGAAGAACAACAAAGTAGGAGGTCTCACACTACCAGATCTCAAAATCTACTATACAGCCACAGTAGTCAAAACTGCCTGGTATTGGCTTAATGACAGATACATAGACCAATGGAATAGAATTGAGAACCCAGACATAGATCCATTGACCTATAGACAGCTGATCTTTGACAAAGGCCCAAAATCCATTAAATGGGGAAGGGAATGTTTGTTTAATAAATGGTGCTGGCAAAACTGGAGATCCATTTGCAGAAAAATGAACCAAGATCTATACCTCACACCATACACAAAAACAAACTCCAGATGGATCAAAGACTTAAATGGTAAACCTAAAACTGAGGGACTGAGTAGTTGAACCTGTGGGCTTGGGACCATGGTTTCAGGGGACATCAAGCTCAAATGGCATAACATACTATACAAAACATTGTTCCACCTCCTACTTTGGCGAGTAGTGACTGGGATCTTAAAAGCTAGCAAGCTGCCATCTAGATGCAACGATGGGTCTCTCCTCATCCAGAGCAAAGAAGAATGAAGAAAACCAAAATTCATGGAAACAATTAGTCCTAGCGACTGGTACACTATCTGATCTGCAGCCTATACGACTATGAGACCAGAAGAACTTGATGGTGCCTGGCTACCACTGTCACCCACTTGGAAGGGGATCTATGTAGGAGATCCTGGATAGAGAAGGAGAACAATGTGGAACAAAATTCAAAATCATTTGGAGAAAAAAAAAAGGCGGGGGACCAGGTTTGCTGGTCCAATAGAGCCTGATGGAACCACTGAGACTATGGCCCCTCGCTGCCCTTTAGGTGTGGAATTGAATCCACACCTGGGGTTTCTAGCCAAACAAAAGTCAGGCAAATGAGTTGAATGTTTACCTCAGGTAGATACACTCCTCGGTGAACAATCATGGGAGAGAGAAAGGCCGCTTATGCATAGAGAGACAGCTCAGGGGGCAGGAGTGCATGGAGGCAGGGACACAAGGTAGAGGTAACTATTGGGAGGAGGTGGGAGGGGCGCTGTTGCATTGTGGTAAACTGTGGTCAATGTCATGAGACAAAGTGTATGTGAACTACTGTGTGGAAAGTGATTTTGCTCTGTAAATCTTCACCCAAATCACAATAATAATGTTTAAAAAAGATAGAGAAATCTTAACTTATTAATATGCCATCCTAGGATTGACAAGAAAAGGTATATTTGAAGGAAGTGATAGACAAGAAAGGGATTACAGAGAATGAAAAGGATTTATAAAGAATAGGATAGAGAAGAAAGTATTAGAAAACAGTGTAAGATACAATTGAATAAAGAATGGATACAAAGTGGAGGCCAGGGTCTATGAAAAAGAGCAGCACGTTAAGGGCTGGAAGACAGCCCTGGGTCTGACGCAGTAGGAAAAGGGCAGAGAGCAATGTCCTCACAGAATGCTAGAATGAAGGGAACAGGACTGAAGGCATGGCTAGAAAGAGGAGTAACTAACGAGAAGGTTTTCTAAAGCCACACGTAGGGACTGAGTTGAGATGTTGCCACATGCCTGTGGTTTTTGCTAAAAGGTACTCTAAGATCCAAACAGAGAGCAGTAGTCAAGTCCTCCAGATGCCAAAGTGACGAGTAACTAGTGTTTTTTTTTTTTTTTAAATCTGGAACTGGAGAGTGGAAGAAGGTAGAACTTGACAAAAGAACTTTAAGAGTCAGGATCAGAGTAAAGACCAGCCAATTAAATGGGGAGCTGGGTTGTATATCAGGAGGCAGGATGATGTGTGAGAAGTGCAAAGATTATTTATTATTGTAGCCTGTGGTAAATGAATAGGATTAGCTCTACAAGCTGAAATAGACCTAAATGATCCACGTGAGCACCACATCTGTAGACCATGAACATCAAAAATTCATTGAATACCTACTAAAGTTTGTCTTGCAAAGACCAGTCTGTAGGTGATGGCAAAAAGAAACCTATTGACCAACTCCTGAGGTGGTGGGGGGTGGGGTGGGCAAAGTATAACCTAGGGCCATCCAGGGCATAAGACAGGGTATTTTGGCCCACTTTGACAAATAATATGGTACCCTCGGGCTTCTCTGAGATGACAGGGAGAAAAATTACAGAAAAATGTTTTTGTACAATTCTGGTGAGAGGGAAGCAAAGGAAGGACAAATAATAGCATTTAAAATATATATATATCAGGCAGAAATGTTAACTCTATTTTTGTATTTTGAAAAATTAGTTATGTCTGAATCTTTAGTTTAGAAGTTTAGATATATTTTCTTTTTCATATTGTGTATTTCCCTGTCACCATACTGGCAAGCTGTTTTCGCCAGTTACTTCCAGTCTTAGAAACACTGAACAAGCACAGGGTTAGTAATGCAATCAACAATAACAGAAGGTCTGTATGAGTCCACTCTTGAAGTCAGAATGGGGATTGCCAGGTAGGCCTAGGCTTGATATTGCCTCTGATGAAGTCTCTGAGGAAAGATTCCCAAAGGAAAAAGAATACCTACCATTACACTCCTCCAAGGAACACAAGGAGGTCTCTGACGACATTCCAGGACAGCCAGGTCTCGAGGGGAAGGAAGTGAAACACACTCGGCGACGCTCTCTCACACCATCCCCACACGTGGTGCTACACTGTGTCCATGGCTGCCACAATCCCCAGGTCTCTGCAAGGACATAAGGCATACCTTTAATGCTAATTAATTTGAGAATCAGAATTTAACTACATTCAAATGAAGAGGCAAAAGTTAAATCTCAGGCCTTGAAAAGTCAGCAAAAATGGTAGAAAAATGGAAAAGAGTGCTGCTCCCACCCTTAAAATAAGAAAAAGCTAGGTAATTTATAAAATCATAACCCATAAGAGAGCTAAGGACATGTCAAATAGCCTATGATATAAGAAAAGACAGGTTCCTCCAAGGAAAGACAGGATACAAGCACTTGTTACATGGAGCAAATACCAGGCACTGTACAAGCTGGTGCAAAGAATTTAGCAAAAAATTTTAAATGAATTTCTAAATGCCTAGTGTGGGCTAGCATGAGAACAGAGAACACCTGGAAGCCACAAGGAGAATTTGTGCCCACTCGCAGGTTCTCACAGATCCCACTAAATGCTCACACGTAGGATTGAACACAGGGCATAAGGCCACAGAAAGCCTCCCTCGTAGTGCAGGCCTGAGGAGGGAAACATATCATTGTGGGAAAGGCAAGGAACCTCACCTAGATCCTTCTTGTCTATCTCCCCTAAAGAGCGAAAGCATTAAGGCTCTGGGGGAAGGGCAACAAATCTTGTCTCCCTAAGGGCAGGAAGACCCAGACCCCTTGCTACTGGGAATGAAAAAAAAAAAAACTCTTTACTCCTGGGGAGAAGCAGAAAACAACATGGTCCCAGGTATTTAAAGACTTTCTACCACTGAGGCGAACAGGAAGGCCTTATTCCTGAGACTCAGGAATACACTTGCCTAAGACAGGCAAAATCAGAAAAGAGAGTGCCCTCCGATCCCCAACTCCCAAGCACCAAATATCAAATAATAGCAATATACTGTTGGAAGAGAGGCAAGATGAGAGATGAGGACTTGTCTGACACAGCTCAAGCCTAACCTAAGATGGAACAGAAACACTGATAAAAACCCTGTGGCATTCTATCCCTCTCCTAAACACAAAGTAACACTAGAAAAAATTGAAGTCCTTGGTACATTGAAGTTTGCTGTGTTGTTGTTGTTGTTAGATACTGTCAAGTTGGCTCCAACTTATAAAGATCCTATGTACAACAGAACAAAACACTGCCTGGTCCCACACCATCCTCAAAATCATTACTACGTTTGATCCCCCTGTTGCACCAACTGTGCCAATCCAGTTTTTGAGGTCTTCCTCTTTTTTACTGACCCTCTACTTTACCAAGCATGATGTCCTTCCAGGACTAATCCCTCCTGATAACATGTCCAAAGTACATGAAATGAAGTCTCACAATCCTCATTTCTAAGGAGCATTCTGTCTGTACTTTCATCAAAGCAGATTTGTTCTTTCAAAGAATGGGAATTTCCCAAACACTTAACTGTGCTCATGTGGAACCTGCACACAGACCAAGAGGCAGTCATTCGAACAGAACAAGGGGATACTGCATGGCTTAAAATCAGGATATTATTTGATAGAAACAGTAAAAACCCAAACCCAACTTAATTCCTGACTACATTAACTCAACAATGAAAAAATGCAACACACTGCCATCGAGTCAGATCCGACTCACAGTGATCCCTGCTTGGGTTTCCAAAGCAGTATCACTACAGAAGTAGATTGCCCAACCTTCCTTCCCAGGAGTGGCTGGTGGGTTTGGACCGCCAACCTTCTGGTTAGCAGTCAAATGCCTTAGGCAGTATGCTACCAGCCACATTGGGCAATCTATTTCCATGCAGATACGGCCTCAGAAACCCAAGGAGGGGTCACTACAAGTTGGAAATGACTCGACAGCAGTGAGTTATGATGAATATGTTAAAGACTTTAGTGGAAAAGGTGAGTGACATGCATGAATAGACTGGAAATTTCAGCAGATTTAGAGACTGAAACAAATTAAATGGAAATGTTAGAAATGAAAAACATGGTAATAGAGCTGAAGAATGCCTTCTATAGGCTTGTCAGTAAACCTGACACAGCTGAGGAAAGAAACAGTGAACTTGAATACAGGTCAATAAAAATCCAAACTGAAACTCAATGAGAAAAACAAGAGTAAATAAAATAGAACAGAACATCCAAGAGCTGCGGGATAACGTTAAATAGCTTATCAAACTTCTAATTGGAATGCCAGAAGAAAAGAGAGAGAATGGAACAGAAGAAATATTTGAAGAGCTAATGTTTCAAAGAATTTCCAAAAATAAATGAAAGATACCAAACCACAGGCCCAAGATGCTCAGGAAACACTAAGCAGGATAAATAGAAACAAAAACTGAGACATGTTTTCAACTACTAAAACCTCAAACAGAAAATCTTGAAGGTGGGGTGGGGAGGTGGGGGTGGAAACATATCACATACAGAATAATAAAGATAAAATTTCAGTAGACTTCTTGTAAGAAATTATGCAAGCCAGAACACTTGAGCAATATACCTAAAGTTCTGAAACCCAGAACTCTACTACGTGAAAATATCTTTCAAAAATGAAGAGAAAAGCAACAACAACTTTTTCAGACAAAAACTGAGGGAGAGGGACTGCATTTCCAGTAGGCCTTCACTACAAGATAGAGTTTAAAAAAAAAAAAGCAAACTTGGATTTATACTAAGAAATGAAGAGGATTGAAATGGCATACATAAAGGTAAATATAAAATTGATTTTTTAAAATAATATATTATTTGAAAGTAATTAAAGTTGTATATTGTAAACTCTTTTAAGGTGCAAATAATAAACTAACGGTGGAGTTAAAGTTAATATTTGATTAATCCAAAAGAGGCAGGAAAAAAAATGGAAAAAATATAAACTAGATGGTAGATTTCAATCCAAGCAGATAATGATTACATTAATATATTAATAATCTAAACACACTAAGAGATTGTCAGAGTGGATAAAAAAACAAGATCTAACTATACGCTGTTTAGAATAAATATAAAGACAGGTGAAAAGTGAAAGAAAGGAAGAATATATACCTTTCAAAATTAATCAAAGAAAGCTGAACTGGCTACATTAATGTCAGACAAAGTGGACTACAGAACAAGGAATATTATGGACTACAGAACAAGGAATATTATGAAAGATAAAGAGGAACATAAGGATAAGGGGGTCAATTCAACAAGGTGCCTTAACAATCTTAAATGGGGATACATCTCACACTAGAGCTTCAAAACACATTAAAAAAAAAAAAAAAAAAACACTCCCGAACATCCAACATGAATTGATTAATCGAACTTCTCTTGTAAGTAGATATGCAACCACTGCCAGATAGAATAATTGAATTATTCTAAGTCCCTTCCCTATAAGCACCCATCCAATCCCAAGACTCATTAGGTTATGGTAACACCAAGGACCAAAACAGTATCTCATCTTCTAGGGACAAAAACTCATAGTTCAGTGAAAGGTATACAAAGCTACACAAACAAGAGGAATGTATAAGGCAGATACATTCTCAGGTGAGTCAAGTGGTGCAATCTTTGGGGTGAGTCACGGAATATGGTTCTTTACAGCAATTAAAAATCTCCAGGGATCTTCACAAGAGTGGAAGCATTACAAAGGAGTATCCTGGACCAACATCAACTGAGGTGTGGTGATCATGTTCCATCGAGAGGTCCAACTGAACACAATATTGGTTCTGTGCCTCCCAGAACACTCTACAGCTCCTCACATCACAGAACAAAGAGTCAGCTTTGTCCTAGAGATGGCTGGGCTCTTCAGACACGAAGCCTCCAGTACTTAGCTCCCGAAGATCTCTGCTAATAACTGTGAGGAAAATACTTGGCAAAATGGGAACTCATAAAATAACCACAGTTTGTGGATTAGAAATGAAGATCAAGATAACCAATATGCCAAATGGTCTTACTTCATGAATAAAAGGGCTTTTTTTTGTCGTTTTCTTTTGTCCTGTTTAAATGCTCACACTATACAATGAATCTGTTTGGCTGGGCTAAATGCCTTTCAGGCCACTACACAGGATATTAGTTCTGCATGAATAAAATTTGTCTGGAATATGAAAGAGGAGATTAGTTTCTAAGACTCTGTGAATGAAAATAGGCTACAAAATATTTATGTACAATCTGCTCAGGAGACCAAGGTAACTGAACAAAACAGACTTAAGAGAAAATTTTATAGACATAAGTGAGTGTATAAAAGTGGCAGTAGGAGCAAAGGCACCTGGAATAAGATGTTCAGATTTTTTTTTTTCCACAGAATTAGGCTCATTTCTTACAGTCTGAAATTATCAACCATGCAATCAAGATGCACTGATAATTACTAGTGACTGCAATGTGAAAGTTGGAAACAAAGAAGAAGGATTAGTAGCTGGAAAATAGGGCCTTGGTGAGAGAAATTATGTCAGAGACTATGTGTTAGAATTTTGCAATACCGATGATTTATTCATTGCAAACAGCATTTTTCAACAACACCAACAGTGGCTATACACATGCACCTCATTGAATGGAATACACATGAATCAAATTGACTACATCTGTGGAAAGAGACAATGGAGAAAATCAATCATTAGAACAAGGCCAGGCAGAACAGACCATCAATTGCTCATATGCAAGTTGAAGCTGAAGTTGAAGAAAATTCAAACAAATCCACAAGAGCCAAAATGTGACCTTGAATATATCCCACCTGAATTTAAAGACCATCTCAAGAACAGATTTGATGCACTGAACACTAATGACCAAAGACCAGACAAGTTGTGGAATTACATCAAGGATATCATATATAAACAAAGCAAATGGTCATTAAAAAGACAGGAAAGAAAGACCAAAACACATGTCAGAACTCCAAAACTTGCTCTTGAACATACAGTTGTTGTTGTTGTTATGTGCCGTCGAGTTGGCCCCAACTCATAGCGACCCCTCCTTGGGTTTCCGAGGCAGTATCACTACGGAAGTAGGATTGCCCAACCTTCCTTCCGAGGAGTGACTGGTGGGTTTGAACCGCCAGCCGTCTGGTTAGCAGGCAAGTGTCTTAGCCACTATGCTACCAGAGCTCCTATACAGT